TATTGACAGCAATACGAGGGGAGTCTACTGCACCCGACCCATGTCATGCGCCGGCCCGGGTGCTGTGCAGGATCGGCGCGGCAGCGCAGACAGAGAAGCTGCAAGGGATGCGCACAAAGCTCAGGTCCTATCCGTTCCGTGTCAAAAGATAATGCGCGATCCACCTGCCAGGTATTAGGCCATTCCAAACCAGACCGAATCCCATTAAGATTCCTGCTGCCCCTGGTGTCATGGTGAGAGGATACGCTACGGCGCTTCGGCTGTTGGGCCACTGGGCGGCAGCAAGGACCGGGTCCAAAGATGTTCGGCTGCAATGCTCATCTTCTCACAAACCCAGGGTCAAGTGTTGATGATGGTCCCCACAAACTCAGAATGAATTATGCAAGCTCCTTGACTCTACGACTATAACTCGGATCTTTGCATTTCCTTGCACTGAGGGACACGAGTGCCGTGCCCCATCCCTCGGCGTCTCGCTCTCTCCATGGTTTTGCATCCGAGGCGGGTCGCACACGTGAGGGCCACTGGGCGGGTCGTGCTCTGGTTTCACCAGCAGACCCGCAAGGGGCTCTGGGCCCATTGCCGGGTTTCGGAAGCTGCGTGCTGTTCACGCGGCGGATCTTCCGACGCTCTTGCGCCTTCGAGCAAAGAGGCGTGGGAAAGGCACCTGCATGCACCCTCTGGAGGAACGCATGGCTTCACGTCCGGAGAATATCTGCTTTCTTCGGCCATTGCTGCTCGCCCGGCACCGTCGGCCAATTTTGATCAGCCGTTGTCCGAGCCTCGTGGGCTGCGCCGAGCTGCAGCGGGGAAGAAACGATCCCCTGCCCCAAAACACAGCCGGATCCGAGTGTCCGACTGGCCAGCTTGGAGTCACTGCGAGCATCGCGCCTGAAACCCGCTTCGAGTAACTGATAGGGCAGAAAGCCGACTAGTGACCCAGTCTCTGTACTCTTTCTTGCGACTGCGGCCTCTGGAAACTGCCTGCTGAAAGCTTATAGAGGAGTGCAGCCCGTAACATCGGAGCTTGACGATGAATATATATATATATATATATATATATATATATATTATACACACACAATTGGAATATCTACTACACAGATGCACAGGCCATCTACATAATGCGACGAGCAAGTTGTGCGTTGAACATGTCGGCTTTGCGCAGCCCTCTTATCCTGCGGGGTTTCGCGCGGCAGTTCTAGATTCATGTCGACACCCCTGAACCCTAAACCCTTCGACCAGCGACATCCAGTGACCAGCGACTGCAAGGACACAGCCTACTGCGACGCGGCAGCGCGCAATGCAACAAAAGGGTGGCGCGGTCACCAACGCTAAGTAGACCTCTCTGACTCTCCTGCTCCGAACATTCCGTGCCGGCCGATGCTTAGCCCCTGAACAGTCACAAAACATATCCCCAAGCCCTGGCTGAAACACCTGAACCCCCTCAAGTCTGAAACCCTCAAGGGCTGAGTGCTCGGCTCCAACGCGATGGAGGCACGGAGCTTGGCTACTTGCGCCTTCATGCGTCTCAGGATTTTCTGGGATTTTGTAGTTGGGCACGGCTGTTGAAGATTGGAGGCATTCTGGTGACCTCACCTGGGACCGCCCTTGGCCACAGGAGTAAACAGCATGTTTTGCAGTGCGCGCTTTCAGGCGACGCGCTTCTCCATGCTCAGCCACTTGATCTTATTAGCACAATGGCAACTGTCCGCAGGACAGTTGCACGGCGGAAAGATGGATGGAGATTCGCCGCACACTTGGAAGCCCGACTTGGCGTAGCACTTTCTGGCCGGCTCGTTGGTCTCCAGCACTGAGAGTTTTACTGTTGAAATGGCGGCTCCCAGGGGTTTCGGGATTCAGGGAGTGAGGCTGAGGTTGTGGGCGAATTAGGCGATGCAGCTGATTTTATTGTTTTGCTTTTCGCACACAGAGACACACAGAGACACACAGGGACACACAGAGACACACAGAGACAGACAACCGTTTTCCCCGACGGGTACCCAAAAGAGCTACGACGGACGAACCCTTTCTTTTGGATGGATTGAAGCGCATTCGTGCCGGGTCCGTCGCAATCGCCAGTACTAGGCAAGCCGGCGCCGGGGGACGCTTTTAGCTGCCCCGGCCCGCTGCCCGCCAGCGAGCGACGACCCGAAAGGTCTCAGGATAAAACCCAATAAGGGCGGTGAGGGTGGGAGCTGAAAATCGTCGGGGGACGTGGAGCAGACAGCGGCTGCAGCATCCACGTCGAATCGACGGTTGTCCCTACGCACATAAATGTGCTACACGACAACCGTTTTCCCCGACGGGTACCCAAAAGAGCTACGACGGACGAACCCTTTCTTTTGGATGGATTGAAGCGCATTCGTGCCGGGTCCGTCGCAATCGCCAGTACTAGGCAAGCCGGCGCCGGGGGACGCTTTTAGCTGCCCCGGCCCGCTGCCCGCCAGCGAGCGACGACCCGAAAGGTCTCAGGATAAAACCCAATAAGGGCGGTGAGGGTGGGAGCTGAAAATCGTCGGGGGACGTGGAGCAGACAGCGGCTGCAGCATCCACGTCGAATCGACGGTTGTCCCTACGCACATAAATGTGCTACACGACAACCGTTTTCCCCGACGGGTACCCAAAAGAGCTACGACGGACGAACCCTTTCTTTTGGATGGATTGAAGCGCATTCGCGCCGGGTCCGTCGCAATCGCCAGTACTAGGCAAGCCGGCGCCGGGGGACGCTTTTAGCTGCCGCCCGGCGCTCCCCTCACCCACTCTGCGCCGGCTTAGCCCGTTCACACCGCAAGATTCAGTAGCTCGTCGGCGGCGTCGTTGACCGCGAAGTCCAGATCGGCGGCGGCCCGGGAGAGCACCTTGAGGATCGACTCGACGGGTGTCTGTACCCGCTCCCAGCCGGAGCTCTCCGCCGTGTGGAGATCTCCCCTTGACACTGCGTCGGAGACGTTGGCCTTGGACGGCACCCGGCGGAAGTCAGGAAGCCATTCCGACAGGGCCGCCGTGGACCAGAAGGCCGCCAACACGCCGTTGACGGCGGAGTCCTTCCCGTACCCCTTTGTAAGTGCCCATTGGCCGGCGACGTTATCGATGAAGGCCAGCCACCTTTGGGGTAATCGGCGGGACAGTGTGACCAGCGCCAGCACCTGGGCGACGATCTCGAGGACATAGATAAAGGCCCGACGGGAGGCGAAGATGTCCAAGAACTTGGCCGGCACCACGCCGCAGTCGTAGAAGACGTGGGTATCGATGCGGACGACGAAGCCCCAGCCATTTCGGCCGCGGGTCCCCGGCCGGACGCCGACCTCTGCCGGTATGTGCCCGGCCTTGTGTTTCACCTCGCCGGGCTGATAGAAGGCGTCTGCGTAGATGATCGCCGCCGGGGCCCCATCGTCGATAATGGGCACTCTCCGCGGTCGGATTTCCGCCAGCAGGGCCCGGAGAGAAGTGAGGGCCGCCCGGAGGCCCACCGACAGCGACGTGGCCGACGTGGCCGCCGCGTCATGTGCCCTCGAATAGACGGGCTGAAGGGCTGCTTTCCCCAGAGCGCCGAAGGTCGACTGGGTGATGAAGTTGAGCCTGCCGGCCAAGCGATTCGCCACATCCGGCGTGAGCTCGTCGTTGGTCAGTGCGGCGTCAATAGTCGCCAGGACCTTCTTGACGCGGCGTTCGGTCGGTTGCAAGGCCACCGCGTCGGCCTCGACGGAGACGAGGACCCCCTGGACTATCTGTTGTGCCGCCGGGGGCTGGGCTTTAGACGGCTTCGTCTGCAACCCGACGAGCTCGAAGAAGTCGGCCATCGCATCGCCTGAAAAGCCGAGTTCGCCGACTCATCCATGTCGACGCCGTTAAAGTCGTCGACGAAGTGGCCGGCCAGGATCCAGAGGAGCACTCTCTGTATGGCCTGGAGGGCGTCGGCCGTCCTGTTGAAATGCCAGACCGACGCGGCGGCGCCGAAGCACATCGCCATGTGAAACCATAGGGACACGCCGGCTGGTCCTGCGATGAAGGTGCCGGAGTGCGCCGGGTGCTTGACTGGCCACTGGCGGTAGGCGTTGAGGAGGTCGTGCCCGAAGATCCTCGCCAGTGTCGCCGGCCCCCCTGCCTGGTCAACCACCCGCCGGAGCATGTCCGCGAAGTCGTCGACGAAGTGGTGCGTCGGGACGTCATGAGCCCGGACGGTGGAGTTGTGTCCGGATCTGCGCCAGTCTTCGGCACGACGGACTTTCACACCTCCTTGTTCGTCTTCCTGCACGACGGGGAAGGAGGCTGCGGCGAATGCCTGGCCCGGCGGCGGGAAGGCGGTCGGCCCCTGGCCTGTCTAGGAGGGCCGCCGTCTTGAATTTCCAACCGTCGGGGGCCCGGGTCGGGCCTACCACCCTGCCGAGACGGACCTCCTCCACGAGCTCGGCGAGGAGGGTTTCGGTGTGCTCCCCGACGGAGGCGGTGGACGCCCGCCGCTTGATGTACTCCCAGTTCGCCGCCGCGAAGCTCTCGATCGGCGCCGGATTGGAGTGTTTCTCGTCGGTCCTGGTCCTCCAACCTGGGCCTCGGCGGAGTTCGCATGTCGAAGCCGTTGGTCAGGTCCTCCTGCATGCCGGGGACGTCGGGGTAGCCGACGATGCGGAGCAGCTCCAGGATGACGGGGATCTGCGTCGGTCTCGCCTTGCCCGGCGTCGTGTATGTCGCCCTCACCGACGGCGACCTCTGTTCCAGCCACAGGTTGGTGTGGTCCTCCATGTCGTCGACGAGGTGGGCGATGTCCTTCAGCACCTCCCGCCGGATCCTTACAAGGTCGTGGCGCCACGACCGCCAGAGGAGCAGTACCCGGTCCAAGGCCGGCTCAAGATCGGGCCGCCGGGTCACCGTGCAATGCCGCAGGGACGCCGACATTTGCCAGTGTAGGTCCGGGTCGTCGTCGGGAAGGTCGAGGTCCGGTCGGTGCCGCGGCGGTGGCTCCATCGGCACTGGTCCCCCGCCGAAGAGTCGACCGACGAGGCTCAGGTGACGATCACTGTGCACTCTCCCGTCGGGTCGGCCTTCCTGATCGCCGCCGCGACGGAGCCGGGCGACGTCGCCTCTGTGGACGAGCCACGGCACGGCAGCCGGGCCGACGCCAGCCGGCGGCAAGTAGCGTCAATCTCCCACGCCAGCGCCAGGACAGGCTGGCCGAAAAGGTTCTCCACCAGCGCCGGGGCCGCGCCGATCCCGTCGAAGAACGAGAGGAGGATGATCTTGGGCGCACGCCGGGTGCGCTTGAGTGCCGGTCGGACGACGGGACGAGCACTGTGGCTTCCGGGTACCCTGGTCCCACTGGTCCTGGCGCCAGCATCCCCACCCCCTTAACACCCCAGGGGGCAGGAAATGTAACTTACATTTTCCGCTTGTTCATGAACAAGCAGAGCCTAAATGTAAAATCTCGGCTTGGGGCATGGCTTATATAGGGAGAGAATAAATGTAAAAAAAGGCTGTGCATCCACTTATCGGGTGGCTGGCGGAGAGTGGGAGAGACGTGGAGAGACAGAGTTAGTGTGTGTGTGTGTATGATAAAGTTCCAAAAACATCTGCACTGGGCTGCACGGCTCGGACACTCACTGGGCTGCACGGCTCGGACACTCCCTGCTGTTTTCTCGCCTCCGCTCGTCACTGCCGTCAGGTTTTTGCGGCCTGTGCTGGCAAGCCCCCCATACCGCCGCAAACCCGTGGTTCGTTGAACTGTGCAAAGCTTGCCTAGATTGGGGCCAGTAGGAAGTTGAACAACTAGTTGAGCGGTAGCAGAGGCGGGGCAAGGTCATTGACCTTGCCCGCGAAGACTCGGATTCGCTGGAGAGCGCCGCTTCGGGAGGGGTGCAGGTCCAGCATCTGACAGAATACTTGTCGACTGTACATCAGAGGGGCCTTGCCCGCAAGTATAACGTCAAAGTAGGATTGTGTTCGCAGACAAAAAGATGCCCAGTCGATGGTCTTGCTTCCCAGCTTCAGCTGCCCATCCTGAAGCAGCTCGATCTGCACCTTTTGAAACATGGCGGGAAGCCTCTGGAGGTACGCCGGGATGTTCCTGGAAGCTTGCGCAGGCGTGAATTGGCGTTCGGTCAAACCGGGGATTGCCGTAGCATCGGCTGCAGCCTGCCAGGTAAACTGTTGGCTTACTCCTTAGGGCCTTGGGGCGTCTTAGGGTCTCTGGGTGGAGGAACTGTTTTTTTTTCAGCGAGCTCCGCCTTGGGGCCATCTGCAGGCACATTTTTTTTCCAGGACTCCGCCTGCACAAATTTGGCGATCTCCGCGATGCCCTGCGAGGTGAACTTGATCACTGTCTTTGACGGGTGCTGAATCATCTCGGCCGGCGCCAGCTTGCCCACGACTGTTATCGGATCAATGAGCCGCACAGGATTCAGTCCAGTCGCCAAGTACGTGGTCGGAGTCGCCTCCAGCAGGTCAACGACTCGAATGGCGCCGCAGCAGGACAGAGGAAGGGCTCCCACAGCAGGACGGCTGGTGTGCAGGCGCCGTGGCCCTTTTTGAGACTTCAGTACTGCCCCACGGAACACGGTCTGCGAGAGCGCTGCCTGCACGTTGCCGCCCTTGTTGAGGTAGAGCAGCACCTGGCCTTCGGCAAAGAACATCACCGCCTCCACCACGCTAGTCTGAGCTGTTGCAGCCGCCGCCAGAGTCATCTGCTGGCTCGTCCATGCATGGAGGCGGGAGCTCCGCTGCCCCCCTGCAAGCAAGGACGCCTGGCGCCCCAAGGCAAGCTCGTGCTGCACGATATTCCACTGATTCTCCTGAGGTGCCGATGTCTGCATGATCATGGCCTTGCTCAGCTCCCCTTGAGCCAGCTGCACGCCCTCGGCATAGGCTTGGATCAAAGGCCGCACCTCCTCCATCCTCCGCTGTAATGCAACGTTCACGCCTTCCTCTTCGGGATTCAGCTGCAAGGAGGGCAGCTGGCGAACTTTGTTCATGAAGGCAGCAACATGGAGTGTCGCCTGCTGATTGTCGTCCAGGGCCTTCTCGAGCTCCGCGGGGATCTTCTGGAGAGGCACAGGCTCCTCCGCGATCTGAGCACTAAGAGCACTGATGTCATCCTTGACCTTGACGTGGTCGTCACAAGCAGCCAGCACGACGGCTGCCTCCTGGTCCTGGTCATCCTTCTCTTGCTCGGCCTCGTCGTCGCACAGCTCCTCGCACCAATCGCCAGGATTCTCCTCGTCTTCCGCCATCTCCTCCACATCGCGATGGCTGGTCAGCAGATCCTTGCCGTCGGTCTCCCACCAGTGATCCAGGTCTTTCCGGATCTGTGCTTCCGTGCGGCCACGGCTGATGCAAGCCTGAAAGAACACCGCATCTTGGAGGCTTCTGCTGGCTAAGTCCTCGGCCTCGGCAGGGGTCACGAGCCGGACCGGCTGGTAGTCAGGGAACTTCGTACGGCGGCACTGCTGAACTTGTCGAAGATGATGCAGAAACGTCCCATGCATTGCATCGGCTATGCAAGGTTTGCCGGTGAACGGCGACTTCACCTGGGAGAAGTGGCTCTCGCACACCCTTTCTTGTCTGGCTGCCAGATTCCACGGTGTCTCGGCACTCGACATGACACACGACACCATCACATGGCACATCAAGTGCGCCGTGTTACGGCAGGTCTGGTACGGAAGGGAGTATTCCTGCCATCGATCACCAAAGCAACGACGATTTTCCGACATATGGAGGAGGACCAAGAAGTACGACAGGGAGGCGTTCTGAAACGCCGCTGGCGGCAGCAGCTTGCCCAGAGTGGCGGCACACATGAAAGATGCCAACAGGATCATCAACCGCAAACCGTCGCAGCTCCACGACTCGCCCAGGTATGCAGTATTCAGTCGCTGGAAGGAGCATCTGTCTGATTGGGGGTCTCGGGCGGTAAAGCTCTGAACTGGTAGTCCTCCTCTCCGCATTGCCGAGAAATCCACAGCATAGCCGCCGTGATACACGGTGCGGCTCGCAGCAAGGTGCTGCAAGGTGAAGCACTTCATGGTGTGGTAGATGTCGTTCATGCCGTGTACCCCGTATTTCTTCCCCTTGGGTGAAGTCCAGACGAGGGCTCGGAACGGGAAGAATGGAATTGTCGCTGGCCGGACGACACTGCATTTTTCCCAGAACACGCCCTCCAACTGCTCCATCCCCAACAGCATGTAGTTCAGGCGTGCATTGCTGCAGCCGTTGTCGTACGATATGCACACTGGAGGACATCCGCAAGCCTTCGTGAAGGCCTCCATCCGCTCGCCTAGCAAAGCCAGGAAAACTTCAGCCTTGCGGTGGCCCTTGCCTGGTGGAAGAGGAAGCAGGCACGTCTCGAAACTCCTGGCATTGGAGTCGGCCCTCGTGGCGACGATCGACAGGGTCATGGACGAGAGGTACTTCTCGTCCCGGGCATCCTTGATGCTGAGGCAAGACATGTCCTTCTCGGCTTCTGGAGACCAGCCTCCACCAATGATGGCAATGCTGTCGTCATGCAATCGCGAGATGGCCTGCCAGGTGGGCCTCCATACTGTTTCGTCAACTGAGAGACAGAGAACTCGCTTTCCAGAAGCGCCAAGGAAATCTGCAACTTGCTGGGCAGCATGCACCTGCTGCTCCTTGCTACAAGTGTTCAGCCGGAAGAACCTCGGCAGCAGTGGGCTCTGCCAGTCTACCTTTGGCTTGTTGCTTTTGCTTCTGCTCGCACCAAAGAGGTTCAGCAGGTCCTGCGATCCTCGACCCAGGGCGAATGTGAGCTCGAACCTGGTGTCATCGCAAATGTGCTTGCCTGAGCCCGGACGTCGGAGGGCGCCTCGCGCCTTCTTCTTTTCAGACTCACAGAAGGTTCTAAACAACGCACGGACGGCCTCGTTTGCACTCAAGCCTCCGCTGGCCACCCAGGCAGCCATGCGAAGATCGGTTTCGCCGGCAAGGGTGGCATCCAGGTTGCTGCACAAAGCCTCGTATGCCCTTCGTTCATCCGCATCTCGCATGAGCCGCAGCCCGTCGATCCGGGACTTCACGAAACTTCTGAGGCCAGGGGTGTACCTGGAGGTATTGATGCAAAGGAACTGTCGTGTGCAATGATCATGAAGGCCGTCGACTCCGCAGCGGTTCAAGATGCCGATGCAGCGGTCCAGGGTCTCTCGGCACCAGCTCGCATAGTCTCGTGTTTTCATCTCCATGACGTACTCATGGACTCGGTCCTGATGATACACGCACTGGTATGCCAAGGAAGCCATGTCGAGACGCAGGGCCCACTCTGCGATCTGCTGGAGATATGGCTTCCTCGCCAACAGCTTTCGACACAGCACACACGGTCCTGCCACCGTGCTGACCTTTGTGCATCCCGTGTGTCTCAGGACAAGTGCATCCCCCGAAGCCTGGACGCTGATCTCTGAAAGTGTGCCCTGTTCCATGCCAGGCTCAGCTCTGAATTGCAACATGCCGCCGTCTGCCCAAGCTCTGATACTTTGCTGTATGTGCTGGACTGGGCACGCAGTGGAGTCCTCCACGAGCAGTCCCGGACAGACTCCTGGAAGCGGTGCTTGCACAGCGACAGGAGCCAGGGATCCACCTTCGCCAGCATTCGGATTCAAGCGTCTTAGTCCATTGGAATGCTTCCGAGTCTTCTCATGCTTCTCAACGAAGCTGAAGCCTGAGGCCGTTGTCCTGATGAAATTGACCTCCTCATTGCAGGGAACACAGAAGTAGCGGGGTCCTGAGCACAACCGATAGGTGTTAGGCCTGCATGCTTTCAGGACGTCCGCCAGGGAGGATAGCTCCGCACCCCGCTCGGGCCGGCCACGCTTGTTCTTTACGATCCCATCCATCTCCACAGGCTGCTCAGGTGCCTCGGCTGCCTCGGCAGCTGGCACCAGCTGCTCCCCTGCCTCAGCGATCACGGGTGGTGTGCAGGGTGGATGCACCAAGTCTCGCAGCAGGCTGCATGCCTGGCATCTCAAGCGGCCGTGGTCCGAGAGTGCCTGGAGAAACTTCTTCCAGTGCCCCTGACGGCATACTTCTCCCGTCTCACGGTGCTTCTTTTGGAACCTGCATTCGAAGTCAATGCCGGCCTTGATTGCGAGGTCCTTGCCGGCGGCCACGTGCTTGCACTTCTTGCTCTGCTTCTTTTTACGAGCCGGCTTGGCAGCAGCAGCGTCTTCGGAATCATCACCAGCATCTTCATCATCATCATCAAGGACGGCGACCAGTTTCTGCACTGCTGCGGCATCGGCATCAGTGCGAGCAGTCTTCACCTTGGGCGATGCCGGAGCTGCCAGCTTCAGGTGCACGGGCGAAGTCTCCGCGATGCGAGGTTTCTTGCTTTTGGGCGGAGTGCTCGGCGTCTTGTCAGCAGCCTGAGTCTTCACAAGCGAGGCTTCGGCCTTCACGGGCTTTGGTTCGGATGCCGAGGCTTCAGACTTCGTAGGCTGGGTTCTTCTCGACTTCCGCGGAGGCGACTGAAACATGTCCGGCTCTGGCTCCTTCCTCGTGCCTCGACGACAGAGCTCCTCAACAGCAGCAGCTCCGATGTCGTCCTCCTGAAGCAAAGGAGGCCACGGGGCAGCTGGATCAAGGCAGTGTCGCATGACAGCATCAGCAGCCAGGATCACACGGTGGCCGCACGACCACTGGTCCCGCTGCAGCTCCTGATCCGTCGAGTAAAGCTCCAGGTTGTGCTGCCAGTGGCTGGTCATGTACACGAGAAAAGCACATGCCAGCAGCTTGACTTCCTCCTGCTGTTGGGCATCTAGCAGCAGGGCCTTGTGGCTGCCTTTCTGCAGGCATAGCAAGGCCCAGTGGTCGTCGTTGGACACTACACACAGGATGTATGCTGCTCCAGCCTGCAGGCTCACCATTTCGGCAGTCTGTGCTGCTGAGGCACTGACTAAAATCAGCCTCTGTGGCCACTGCTGGCCGAAGTGCTGCTTGGCGGAGTCAACCATGTGGTGCAAGATGGTGCCCCAATGTAGCCTGGATCCCTGTTGCAGCTTCTGCCTAGGCCAGGGCTGCAAAAGCTCAGTCTCTATGTCTGCGCATACCTCCAAGTCCAAAGAGGGAGTGTCATCCTCGGTTTTCTGTCCTTTCACAGGTTCAGTGGCCTCGTCGAAGCACTGCAGCAGGCTTTGCAGCAAGTGCTGGCCAGAGCTACTCACACCCACACATTCCACGCGCATGCGCCGAAGCAGGTTCTGCAACGGCTGGGCCAGGCTAGCTAGGTTGCCTCGGCCGTCATCCTCAGGAGCACCTGCCAAGAACCTGGAAAGGCCTCGCTTTTCAAGCAGGTCGTGCCATTCTGGTCTGCCAAGCATGAATCGGCGCAATGCTTCTGAACTCCATGGGGCCGCTTTGCCACTCTGCCATCCATCCAAGCTCTTGGTGTCCTCAAAGTGTCGGATAAAAGTACAAGCTTCCTCAAGGCCGGCAGAGATCAGCCGATATTGGTCCCCAGGCGAAAGAGCTCTGCCAAGCGCACGGAACTCTTTGTCGGACACCATAATGAGCAAACGGGTCCAAACACTGCTCTGCCCGACTGCCTCCATTACGGACTCACGCAGCACGGTCTCCAGCGGCCGCACGCTGCCAGGCCACTCCTCTCCATGGGTCAAGGTCAAAGCTACAGTGTAATTGTAAAAACACCGCCCCGCATCAGCCCGGACCCTGAGAGGCACAGCGGTTTTGCAGATGCGCCCCCAGCGATTTTACATTTCCCGGAAACCGTGGCCTCCACTGGCTGGACCGCGGCTTTCTCCTTGGGCACGAGCGATTCGGCCTGGTCGTGGCACGGGCTCGCTAGGGGTACAAATGTAAAAACACCGCCCCGCATCACCCCGAGCCCGGACCCTGAGATGCACAGCGGTTTTGCAGATGCGCCCCCGACTCTTTTGCATTTCCTGAGCCCTCGACTGCCGTGGCCTCCATCGGCTGGTCCGCGACTTCTTCCTGGAGCACGAGCGATTCGGCCTGGTCGTGGCACGGGCTCGCTAGGGGTACAAATGTAAAAACACCGCCCCGCATCAGCCCGGACCCTGAGATGCACAGCGGTTTTGCAGATGCGCCCCCGACTCTTTTGCATTTCCTGAGCCCTCGACTGCCGTGGCCTCCATCGGCTGGTCCGCGACTTCTTCCTGGAGCACGAGCGATTCGGCCTGGTCGTGGCACGGGCTCGCTAGGGGTACAAATGTAAAAACACCGCCCCGCATCAGCCCGGACCCTGAGATGCACAGCGGTTTTGCAGATGCGCCCCCGACTCTTTTGCATTTCCTGAGCCCTCGACTGCCGTGGCCTCCATCGGCTGGTCCGCGACTTCTTCCTGGAGCACGAGCGGTTCGGTCAGGTCCTGACACGGGCTTGACGCGGGACTGGGTACAACCTAAAATGCAAAAAACACCGCCCCGCATCAGCCCGAAGCCCGACAGGCACAGCCTTTTGGGAGATGCGCCCCCTGCGATTTTACATTTCTTATGCCCTCATAGCCCAGCCTTCACGGGCTGGTCCACAGCATTGTCCTGGAGCGGCAAAGGCTCGGCCAGGTCCTGGGTACGTAGCGCGGGCTATTTCGAGGAACGGAGGGCTGCCTAAAATGTAAAAACACCGCCTCGCATGGCCCAGCCACTCGAAAGGCACAGCAGTTTCACAGATGCCCCCCACCCGAATTTACAATTTCAGCGGTGCGGCACGGCTGGCCCAGGTCCCGGCTCCGCTTCGTTCACGGTACTAGGAACCTGCCACGGGCAGACAAAAAGGCAGCCAGGAAATGCAGTCCCGGCATGTGCCCGGCCTCCTTCTCGGATGGTTTAGATTCCATGTGAGCTTCGCCCACAGTCTCCGGAGCCTGGTCCAGCGCCGGGGGTGCATCCGCAGAAAGCCTGTCCTGCAGCAGCCCGGCACATGCCCCCCACCCGAATACGCCTGCGGCACGGCTGGCCCAGGTCCCGGCTCCGCTTGGTTCAGGGTACTAGGAACCTGCGGCAAACGAAAGACACAGCACAGAGCAGAAAGGACAGCAAGCACTTAGCCGCTCCAGCTCCATTTTCAGTCGACTGCTCTCGTAGTCCCCTGCCTCCATGTCCTCGTCCCTTGCCTCCGGCCGCTTGTCCTGCATCAGGAAGAGGCGAGGCTCATGCCTGCACTGCGACGAAGTCGAGGCCACGACCCTTTCTTCCGCTAGGAAGGCCCGGACCTGAGCCGCCACAATATGCTGCAATAGCCATACGAGCATGGAGACCGGCACGGGCCTGGTCCAATCGAGGCATCGTCTCCAGTGCCTGACACGGCAACGACATGTAGTATCCCGGCAATCCAAGGCTGAAGCCATAGTAAGGTGTACTTACATAGAGCACCCAGAAGTATGATCACAGATCCAAGGATGCGGGACCCACCTTCGCCTCTTCCTTCGTCGCATCTCCTCCAGGCTCCGGCTGCGATATGTCAGTTGCCTCAAGACCAAGCCAGTCACATACCCACTACCGGACAACGGTTCCGAGCAATCGGCCATGAGAGGGGCAACAGGTTGGACAGCTGCAACTGATGCCGCATCAGACGACGAGGTAGACTCCTGCACAGCAGATGACCACACACACACACACACACAGAGCCCTGGATGCACTTCGACCCCGACCTCCGGAGATGAAGGTGCTGCTTGGTTGTTCGTCAAAGCAGGCACCTGAAGGGTTGTGGGTTCAAGGAGTTTCGGGTTTTCCTAGCCCCCCACGACTCAGGTTCTTGCAGGAGGTTCCAGCAAGGACAGCATGGCCGCCTTGGCATCATGGTGACATGCTTGGGTTGGAGGATGTTGGAAGTTCCCAGGCCCTGCATAGCGAGCGGTCTTGTCTTATTCGCGGCCTCTCGCACGAGCTGATCCCCAAGCTTCCGCACTCGACCGCTGACTACTGGAACTACCTAGGATCTTGTCAGAAAAGATTCCTCAAAGCCTGCACACGCAGTGGGCCATCTGTCTCAGCTGGACTTCCGCACAGGCCGTGTTGACTTATGCGGCGGTGTGTATGGCGCCGAGCGAGAAGCACGAGGAGGAGTCTTCACTATCACATTGGCATCCAGCTTCTGTGTTCCGGCAGCACATGGCCTTGCGAGGACATTGGCGTTCACATCGGTCGCCAACTGGGATCTCTGGCCACAAGACATAGTGTCAGTCGCAGTCTTCGCATGCTCCGAAGTGCTTGTCGCAGATGTCGCATCTGATCCCTCCGCCGACTCCTTCGCAGGATTCCATGGTTTCCGAAGCAGGCTTGACGTCCCCCATGGGATTGTCGTTTCTTCACAGATGGGACTCCAGGTGTGAATACCCGGAGGCAATGGCGAGTCTGTCAGCACTGGCTTCTTGAGGATCCTGCCCGGAGGGGTCAACAGATTCAGGGGACTCCACGTGATCACTTCTTGAGGAGCATCCGTGTTGGAGCTAGCCATGCTGGGACTGTCTATCACTGCCCGGAAGCTTGGATGCAATGCTGCAAAGAGCCACATGTGCCAGCTCAAGGCATGCCTACACTTGTCCCCAAGTCAGCCGCTTCGCAGAAATGAAGACTGCCTATGCTCGCTAAAGCCCCGGCCGCAGGCTCTGCCACACGATCTGGAACCTGTGAGCATGGGGATGTGATCGCATCAAGCCCAGCAAACCGTGGACACGAGGGAACCCAAGGCTCGGGCCAATGGCCAATGGTCAGGGGAAGCACTTCCGACCTGACATCTAGCCAGCAAACCAAGTCCCTGATGGTGGCTGCGAACTCGCACCCGCTGCCTGCTCAGTCTGATCAGGAACCTTAACTCAAGGCAAGAAAACATTTAGGAAGACCAGTGAAGGCAGTCGAGGTTCAGGCCAGGGGCACATCATCGCCATTCGTGGATGTTGGATCCTCAGAGAAGAGCACAGCAAGGGGCACCAATCGACGGAGCAACAAAGGCGAGCACACAAGCAAAGACCTCAGCAACCCTGGACCTACCAAGGAATCCGGAAGGTCCAACCTCGGCCGATGTTGGCATGGAGCTCACACCAGGAACCTAAGGCAGAGCAACAAGCAGAAACCAAAGCCGCAGACCCAGAACTCGAAGGGGTTTCAAGGGCCCAGCAGCATCGGAACCATCGGAAAGCGGCGCCTGGCGTGGTACACGAGTAGCTGAGTTGCAGCGAAGGAAGCTGAAGTGCAGCACTCAGTACAGTCAAGGCCAAGTCCAGGGAATCCAAGCTCCAGGCCGCAGTCGTCAAAGTAGGATGTGCTGAGGCCTGACCAAAGCAAAAGTCCCAAGGAAGGGAAGTGGTTCGGGCTTTCGGGAAGACACAATGCCAGGTGCAGATCCTAGGAGGAAAGTGGGGGTGTTCGGGGTTTTGGTTTGGGTTAGGGGTTCGGGGTTGGGCCGGGGTCGGGCTTCAATGCAGTGGGGACCTCGACAGGCACTCCTACTGCGGGGTCGAATGGGTTCGGGTGCCCTGAAGCCTTAAGGGAGGGATCGGGAAGTCAAGGAAACCATGGGTTTAAGGAATGAGGTGTCAGGGAAACCCCAAACCAGGAGGAGGGGAGGGGGAACCAAGCACGCACAGCCAATGGTTTCAGCACACGATTTAAAAAAACGCAGGAACCTCACCTCTCAGCACGTGCCGGGCTGCGATACGCCGTGATGCGGTAGTGATTGTAGTGTGTGCTACGGTTATGCTATGTTTCAAGCTCACACAGCCCTGGCAATCGTGAAACTGCAGCTATGGTGTGTGCTGGTTGTGTGCCGCCTAGATGCTGCAGTTATGGTGTGTGTTTTATGTGTGCCGCCTCCGAGTGCTGCTTATGTGTGCCGCCTCCGAGTGCTGCTGCTATGGTCTGTGTCTGTGTGTGTGTGTGCCGCCTCCGTTATGCTGCTACTGCTGTGGTGTGTGTTGCTCACGGCTCAAACTCTAGATCCTGAATCCAGGAGCCCTCAGCGCTCGATCAGGTCGCCAATCTTCGTGAACTCATCGTCCTTCTTCAGCCTCTTGGGCCCAGGACTACCGTCATCGTCCTTTTCCTTGTCATCGCCATGGCTGCTGTCGTCGTCCTTCTTCTTGTCATCATCATCCTTCTTGTCGTCATCGTCCTGTTTCTTGTCATCATCGTCTTTCTTCTCATCGAGAAACACGGCAATGCGAGGTCGCACCAGCGGCACGCCATCGCACCCCGCCTCCATAGCAGCCTCGACCGCCTCCTTCAGGGACTCATCCCTGCCGACGCTGATCATGCAGACCACCTCGCCGTTAATCACCTGGTTCACTTCCCAGAGAACGCCGGCCCTGTGCGGCAGCTCGTGGGGTCGAAGCTCGGACAGCTCATCGATCATGCCCTGCTTGTCAGTTTGGCCTGCCATCCAGAAGTGCTGTGAACTGCGACTCTTTGAGAGCGAGCTGCTGAGTCTTCGCCCCCAAGGCTAGCCAGGTAAGAAAGTTGTAACGCAGGACAAGTCCGACAGCAGCAATGTGCAGCGATAGGCAGCTAGCTCCAGCCGATCAAAGAACTATGGCAGCACGAGGGCCCAACAGAAAAAAAGGAATAAGTCACGTGTG